ACGTCTAGGAGATGATTGTTATTTAATTTGGAAAATTTTGAGGACGTATTTCTATTTTTAGAAATTGTTCGAATATTCATTTTAATTAAATAAAAATCTTTCCGAGGGGCTTTTAAGGTTTTGATAATTTTCAGGATATAGGGGCTCATGATAAAAAAAATTATTATCCGAATTTTTGAGAACTAGACATCGGTGATCGCAACTGATGGGGGTAAAGTGATGGAGAGGCCCCGACCCTATCCTCCCTGACGACCCGGGGTGTCGGCAGTTCGAAGTTGGCCGCTGAATTGTGGCCCGAGGAGAGACCTTGAAGAGAATGGTGGTGGAGCTCCAATGGTTAGGGTCGTTGAAGAGGAAGACGATGAACCGATAGAGGAGGAGCCAAAGGAGGAAAAACGCACGGGGCTCGAGCGTGAGAATGCAGACGTTGATGCGACTAAAGAGGTGAGTGTAAAGTAGGGGTGGGCAAACGGTTCAGTAAACCCGAACCGAACCGAAACTGAATTAATGCTATTCGGTTCAGAATTCGGAAGGAAAATATGGATAGTTCGGAAATCAGGGTTCTTTCAACCGAACCGAATTTCCGACCGAAAAACCAAAATACTATAATTGCAAGCTCCAAATGGTGGATTTTTATGTTTGTAGTTGTTTTTAGACTTAAATATTTGAAATGTTATATGACTTATGTGTTGAAACGTTTGGTTTTATCATTGATGATGCATATAATTGATATTTATATTAGGGGTGAAAAATAATTTAAAAGTGAGAAAATACAAGTAGCTGCACAATTTCGGTTTTGTGTGAAAAACCAAACCGAACCGAATTATAGTTCGGTTTAAACCGACCGAACCAAATTATAATTCGGTTCGAATTCGGTTTGAGGTTTGGGAGAATTCGGGGACCCGGTATTCATAATTTTGGTTCGGTCGAAACCAAACCGAGCGAATTCCCACCCCTCGTGTAAAGGGGGTACAATCTCTGTCGTTGGTCTTTTAGTTTATGCTTTTCGTTCAAGTTATTAATTAGTTAATTTTTGAGTAATGCGCGATATGTGTGTGAGGCATCCCACCGCCTGTAAGGGTGGAGGCACGCGCTGTGCTATGTATGAATGTATGGATGTATGATTGTAATAGTTGGTTAATGGTAAGAAGAACCCCCGGGCGGTTGGGCCACTACTGGACGCGGTAGATGGTCAGGTCACTGTTGGACGGCGAGACGTAACGCAGCAGTTGATCGAGTAAGTTGGGGTCACTACTGGACGGCGAGACGTAACGCAGTAGTTGATAGGCATGGACTGGACGGCGAGACGTAACGCAATGTCATTGCCGAGTTTGGGTATGCAACCGGACGACGAGATGTAACGCGGTTGGCATACTTGGTTAGGACACCGAATGGCGAGACGTAACGAGGTGGTCTTAGTGTCTTGTGTTGGATTTAGGATAAAATTTGAGAACCTCTATGAGTTAAATTTGAAAGGAGTTATTAAGAACATAAGTAAGGGAATTCTAAAGATAAGACAGTAGTAGAGATCTCTTTAGACTGTTTGATAGTAAAGTTTTAAGGTTGAAAGTGAGAACGACTTTCGTCTAAGGAAGGCATTTCCCCTAATAATGTGCAAAGACCTTAGGAAGTAACGACGAGACTGACCCCTTCTCACTCACCAGGTTGAGGATAGTCTAGCAGAAGTAGATCACGAGAAGAAGTCGGGCGAAGCGAATAGCTGTACCAGCATCGTCGGGATATCGAAAAGCTCGTGAGGAGTCAAGTTAGATTAGTTATTTATTTTGTTTCATGGTTGTTAGTATAAACTGGAGATTCGTAGTATGTTGGGTTCCCCTGAGCTGAGTAGGAGAGGTGAGTTGGGAGGTGGGGACCTCGGGCAGGAAATCCATTCCGTAAGTTCTCTATCTCTGCATTACCTGTCGGTTGAAAGTTTTTGTTTTCTTTGTGAAAAGCATGGTAAGCAGTCTTAACCGAGAACCCACCATCCTTGGGGAGACTCCAGCCCAAAAATCATCTGACTCCTCTTCCCTAATTGGAATTCTAAGTATTGCTTCCATTTCCTCAGCAGTCCAACATAACATCCAAACATCCTGTATAATAAATAACGACAAATGAGTCCAAAATAATCAGTTTCTGACAATAGGTCAACACCAGCCACACTTCCTTAATCGAAAATCTTCCCATAATATGTCCATTCCACACTCCAACACCACCTGCTATAGACATTAAGGGATCGTTTGGAGAATATGAGTTTACATCTATAGATTGTAAAAAATCTAAACATTCTAACTCTTCGAATTGTTGAAAATAGATTTTAAAATGTTTGCTATTTGATAACTGTGATTTTTAACATTTAATGAAAATAAAAAATTTATATTAAATAACATGTTTATCCTTAATAAAAAAATTAGAGTGGTTCGAGAAATATTAAAAAATTTGTTGATAAATATATTTAGTATGATAAATAAATAAAAAAAGAGAAAAAGTAGGAGGAAAAAAAATCTTACGAATCAAGATATAGAATCTCTCCAATTATGAGAAATTTGATATCCTTAGATTTTAAAGATTTGAAATCTCTAAAGCTAAATCCACAATACAAAAAGCAACAAAAAACATAACTTTCTACAAAATCTATAGACTCAATGATTTCACGCCCTAAATCTCGTTCTCCAAATGATCCCTAAGTTATGCACTTTGTTCCTGGATTGAAGTAACTTAAGCCAAATCCAAAAACCAACTTTATTGTCAACATTCCAAAACTTATCTTAATCCTATATTCATGCATCCAAGCAACCTAGAGAGACCCTTGCTTTAGCAAGAGGTCCCAACTATGGCTCACTATACATGGCAAACCAACTACAAAAGCACCTAAGATTTAAACCACCTTGATTCTTAGGGACAGTTAAAAACTTTCAAGGCACAACTGCTTTTTTCCTGCCACCTTCACCAACTCCCATAATAAATCACTGCAAAGTCTCTCAACTTTGTAGATCACAGCTTTAGGAAGGAAAAAAAAATGGTCATCCAAAACTCAGGTTGTAAAGTACTGATATTATGAGCTGCAACTTGCTAGTATAGCTCAAAGTTTTGGACTGCCAACTATTAATCTTGGAGGTAGGTAAGTTTCTCTACAAAGAGATTTGCCAGCTTTCACAAATAACTTACCTAGTATAAGAGGGAGACCCAAATACCTTACATAAAGAGTTTCCAACTTATAACTAGCTCTGAGGGCCATGTCCTATTGCCAGTCCAATGGTATACCAACCCCCCCCCCCCCCCCCCCCCAAAAGTTAACATTAGTAGGATTTGAGACATCAGAAAATAATAGTAGATCATCTGCAAACATCAAAGGAGTAAAACCAATTCTTTAACACTCGAGACAAAAAAAGAGTATTATAATTAACAGGTAGCCTCATTATACTAGTGAAAACCTCCATAGCTACTGCAAAATGATAAGGGGACAGGGGGCCCTCTTCTATCAAGCTTTTATGGGCCGAGAAGTAACCAACCATTCCCCCATTAAAGCACATACCTTGAAAGTAGTGTATCACATAACAATCTAGTCAATAAACCCTTGTGGAAAGCTCATAGCATTTAATACTTGGAGGAGAAATTGCCAATCGACAAAGTTAAAAACTTTCATTAAATCAATCTTGATTATACTACTAGGTGATGCATTTTTTCTATTATATTTCTGGATACGTTCATGAGGTAGGATAATGTTTTCACCTATAACTCTTCCTTTAACAAAGGTAATTTGGTTCTCACTAATAACATAGGGAGATAATCACTAAGTCTAGTAGAGATAATAGGAATACACCTATAAAGAATGTTACAACTTACAACAAGAGATAGGCCTAAACATCTTCATATCTTAAGGATTTTTTGTTTTTGTTTTAGGCAGCTGAGCAAGAAGAGTACAGTTTACCTCTCATGGAACAGTGAAGTCGCAAAGCAGTGTTGAATTGCAGTTGTAACCTTAGGACCTATAATATCCCAAGCAACATGAAAAAAGCCCGTCGAGAAGTCATCTGGATCAAGATTCTTTTCACCCTTAAACCTAACATTGTTTTTCTGACTTCATAAGTAGTAGCTGGTGTGCATAAATGTGACCCTTGACTAGAATTTAACTTCTTTTTGAGAAGATCTTTATAGAAGTTCACAAATCAAAATTGCGCCAAAGCATCATACTTTTCCAGTAAGTTTTTATAGAAATTTAATACAATAGAACTCATTCCTTCTGTATCAGTAACTGACACACCAAAACACAACACCAAACTGCGACCAAGTGTAATCGCAGTCCGGGAATGCAGTAACAGGCAAGTTCTATTATCAACCCGGGGTCTAGATCTACTGCTTACTCCGTGATTATCTATTATCTAGCCAACAAATTCGATTGATTGTTGTTTAAAGCAAAAGCAGTAAGAAAGCAGGAAATGGTTCGGTTTTCAAAAGAAGGAAAGAGTCCCTGGGTTGATTCACTGTTGATTAGACTGCGGAAGATCCGACAGTAGCTTGGAATCTCTTAAGCTGACCAAGCCCTCTCAGTCTAACTACCCGGCAGACGACTAGTCTTCACCGGGATAGAAAGCTGAGGCTATGAACACAGAACTCCACTACTGGAATTGAATTCCAGTACAAAGCAGTAAACTGGCTAACTCTCGTATAACCAATCTCCTACTATCGAATGAAAAGGCTCTAACAACCTAATAAGATTCTATCTATCTCAGGTTGTAGCAGAAATCAAGAAAAGCTGATCAGACTTTAATCAATTCAATAAACATGCATCATTCGATTAAAACCAAATAGTATAATCATCCCAAGTCATTACAATCAAATCCCTAACACCAGGAACTAGGGTTCTTCATACCCAAGTGAGAGAAGGGTTCTACTCCATAGAGAGAGAGAAGAAAATAGTAATCGGAGTAGTCATACTCATAAAGATGAGGAAAATCTGCTCTGGGATGATGATTTCCACTCCTATGACGATCTCCAAGCTCGATTTGATGAAACCCAGCTCCAAGATAGCTTCTAGGATGTGTTCTTCGCACTTTCTCTCTCTAGGGCTCTGTTTTTGCTCTGAAAATCCCATTCTCCCACTTTTGGCTCGAAATTGGCTGAAAAACCAAGATTTCCCGACTCACACGGGCAGGCCACACGGCCGTGTGGCTCACCCAGTTGCCCGTGTGAGTCAAAGCGCGCCGTATCAATTAAGTCGAAGCTCAGGCTTCCCACACGGCCAGGGTCGCACGGGCGTGTGGGATTTCCATCCAGCCCGTGTTTGCTCTCGGCGAAAATCACATGGCCACAATTGTCAGTTGCACGGCCGTGTGATGTCCCGGACTGCCCGTGCGGCTTCCTTGGCACCTCGCCACGCGTCCGATCTTCGTCCAATCGACCCCAAACTCGCTCCTAAGCCTCCATTCACGTACTAGGACCTGAAATATCACAAACAAGCACAACCTAGCGTGAAATCAGCCTAAAACCCGAGAATCAACACCTCAAACGGCTCAAGAATAGGGGTGAAAACAGGTGTAATTAATGGTCTATCAAACTCCCCCACACTTAACCGTTTGCTTGTCCCCAAGCAAACCAAGTCAGACACAAGGTAAGCTTACACATTTCAATCAATCAACATTGGGTACAAGTCATAAAGGCACAAAACACGTGAATCGTACTGGTTCTCAAACATCAACACATGAACAACCTTAATAGCAACCTGGACAACCACCACAAAGGACATTCGAGTGCATCAAAATCGAGTAAAGGAAGAGTCTCCCTTGTGTTCACCAACCAACCTAGACTTGACTCAACCACTTACTCAAAACAGTCAACTCATGCATCCAACTCAAGACATCAGAATAGAGACCGAGCAATCACCGGGGTACAAGAGTATAAAGAATATGAAAATGAATCACTCACTCTCGACCAGTGGGGTCAGGACAATTTGATGCGAAAAATGCGCATGCTATTTCTCTCAATCCCTAACATCTCTTCACCATGATGGCAGCCTCTAAATGCTAGAGTTCACACATGAGGTGTCACCACTAACTAATCAGGAGGTCTTAGACACAGGTTCAAATGACTGGCCAGGGTCTTGGACATGGGGAAAAGGCCTTTTAGGTGGTGGAAGTATTCAAAGCACAAGGTTCCACATTTCCAAACCCACACAATCACAGTCAAACAAACCGGTATTTCCTTTCTGCTATTCTGCATTACTCAATATCTCAAGAGCACAAAAGCAAAGGAGATATAAATGTTAGCATTTCCAAGCCAGACTGCTAAGAAACACTACTTACTGTGCATTATTCAGATTTTTGGTAGTGGCTCTCTTTTGCTTTCAATTTTTTCTTTGTTTTTCTTTCATTTTCTTTTCATTTCTTAAGAGAGCCCACCACTTCTGCACATATTTCAAACACATGCCCAACTTTTAAGCACTACCTCCAACACTGCAATTAAATTTAGCAGAAACAGCAGATGATATGTAAAAACCACTCTGTGGAACCTTCTAAAAGACGCAAAAGGGTGATTTTTCATTATATACCAAAAGAAAGGATAACACACGGCTCAAGGGGGCTGACTAGGGGATATGACACATCAGGACAGTCAATTTGGTCGTGGGCTAATCCTATGCCCCCATCATCTTAGCTAGTGACAACGTGAATGCTACACATCATGGAAGAGGGATCTATCGCACAAGAAAGAATCGAGCAGGCTCAAATCTCACATGGATACCTATATGCTCTATCTCACATTCTGATACCCTGAACTAGATGCATAAACGACTATCAAGAACAAGTGATTAAATCAAGTCACAGTGGGTAAGCAAACAGTTGAAAAACTGAACCCCTACATAATTCTACTGCACATCTCCGTCCTCATCATAGGTTGTCCTAGTCACAATCAAGCTGTCATGCATCAATCCGAAAACCATTCAATTCATCAATCAAAGCACAGTGCCAATATGATCAAACAGCAGTACTTGGAGCCCTCAAATCGTAAGATTCGGACAGTGGACTAGGCTCCAAGAACACAAACTCATCTAGCAGTCAACAACAGATAAACACCCCCCCACACTTAAGCACGACATTGCCCTCAATTGAGTAGAGGGAGAGATAAGGGGAACGATGTTACCGGATTGAAACACTGCTGGGGGACTGGAAGTGGACCAGTCAGCGGGGCTAGCATCAACAAAACACACTAGGTGATAGAAACCATAGTTCCAAGTGGACAAACCGACAAAAACAAACGAAAGAAAAACAAACCTTGGTGGGGTTGCCTCCCCACAAGCGCTTCTTTTACGTCTTAGCCAGACAGTGGCTCCTAAGTTTCGGTCCACCCCAAAACCTCCTTGAAGTTGAGGTTCTCATTAATGAGGTGGAGTCTCAAGTCACGAGCATGTGATGTGATAGGTGATGAAGATGGCTCGTGGCCTTGAGGAAGATGAAGTCTCCACTCTCGAGACCTCGCCTTCGCGTCTGCTCTTGTCTCATTGCCCCAAACCAGATAAGATATATTCGATTGACCACCATCGCATCCACCAAGAGGGATTGATGTTGATGTGGTCTTAGTCTGGCAAAGAGACACTGCAAATGGGTCCTTGCCAAGCCGCTCCTCGAAGTTTGGCGGAGATATCAAATGTAACATAGGCCCGGTGCAAGCCTCTTCCACCTCAACTTCATCCTCAGCCTGGACGCCAATTGCCTCCACAACCCCCCTTCCTTCTTCAAAATGTGGTCTCTCCCCTTGGAAAAGATCAAGAACTACCTCTTCTTTACTTCCTTCCTCATCCTCCACAACTTCCTTCCTCATCCTTGCTCGCTCTTCTTATTCCAGAAAATATTGGAGAGCAAGTCGCCAAGCAATTTCTTCAATGGGATCATCTTGCATCTCCTCGCACAGGCCCAGCATGTTAGAGCATAAATGAGGAACGGTGTGATCTGCCACCAGAGGACTTTCCTGATCATGATCATCATGGGAGTTCTCTGTGATAACTTCTGTAGGCTCCTCAACGCCCCCGTTGCCCTTGTCATCCTCCACCTCTTCTAGCATAGTAGCAGAAAGGTGATCTTGAGCAGGATGTGAGCAAACTTGCTTCACCCACTCTGTTTGCTTCGCTGAGCACTGAACAGTCTGCTCCATTTCATAGAGCAATGAGGGATCGGAAGAGGCAAGGGCTTGGATTTGAAGATCCATCTTGGAGCATGCTCTCTCAGTGTCTCGAGCAAACTGCTCCACGAGAAGCCTTAATTGTTTGTTCGGATCTTCCAGTGAAGTGTAGCATGGCTCTGCAGAGTGGCCCGCGAAGGTCTCCATGGCTAAATCCAACCCAGATGGCCCCTCTGGTAGTGGCAGGAACTCTTCTTGAAAAGGATATTGTTCTTGAGGTTCCCAAGGGTTTGGTTGTTCTCCATAGTAGGGGGGTTGGTACTGACATCCGAATCCATAGTCTTCTCCTCCTTGATTGCTCCAGGAAGTCTCGGGGTAATACCACACGGAAGGTGATTGATACCCCCAATGGTTGGAGAAGCCATGAGGATCCATGTTTCAGAGCTGCACCAACAAAAACATAACACCCAAGTGAAAAGCAAGGGTGGAAAAGAAAAGAAAAAAGCTAAAGTAACAGACTTTCACGTTTCTACAATAACCTAGAGGTCCCCGGCAACGGCGCCAAAAACTTGACACGCCAAAACACAACACCAAACTGCGACCAAGTGTAATCGCAGTCCGGGAATGCAGTAACAGGCAAGTTCTATTATCAACCCGGGGTCTAGATCTACTGCTTACTCCGTGATTATCTATTATCTAGCCAACTAATTCGATTGATTGTTGTTTAAAGCAAAAGCAGTAAGAAAGCAGGAAATGGTTCGGTTTTCTAAAGCAGGAAAGAGTCACTCAGAATGAGTCCCCCTAGCTCCTTAATTAGGTTTAATTGTAATTACCCTGGGTTGATTCACTGTTGATTAGACTGCGGAAGATCCGACAGTAGCTTGGAATCTCTTAAGCTTACCAAGCCCTCTCAGTCTAACTACCCGGCAGACGACTAGTCTTCATCGGGATAGAAAGCTGAGGCTATGAACACAGAACTCCACTACTGGAATTGAATTCCAGTACAAAGCAGTAAACTGGCTAACTCTCGTATAACCAATCTCCTACTATCGAATGAAGAGGCTCTAACAACCTAATCAGATTCTATCTATCTCAGGTTGCAGCAGAAATCAAGAAAAGCTGATCAGACTTTAATCAATTCAATAAACATGCATCATTCGATTAAAACCAAACAGTATAATCATCCCAAGTCATTACAATCAAATCCCTAACACCAGGAACTAGGGTTCTTCATACCCAAGTGAGAGAAGGGTTCTACTCCATAGAGAGAGAGAGAAGAAAACAGTAATCGAAGTAGTCATACTCATAAAGATGAGGAAAATCTGCTCTGGGATGATGATTTCCACTCCTATGACGATCTCCAAGCTCGATTTGATGAAACCCAGCTGCAAGATAGCTTCTAGGATTTGTTCTTCGCACTTTCTCTCTCTAGGGCTCTGTTTTTGCTCTGAAAATCTCATTCTCCCACTTTTGACTCGAAATTGGCTGAAAAACAAAGATTTCCCGACTCACACGGGCAGGCCACACGGCCGTGTGGCTCACCCAGTCGCCCGTGTGAGTCAAAACGCGCCGTGGGATTTCCATCCAGCCCGTGTTTGCTCTCGGCGAAAATCACACGGCCACAATTGTCAGTTGCACGGCCGTGTGATGTCCCGGACTGCCCGTGCGGCTTCCTTGGCACCTCGCCACGCGTCCGATCTTCGTCCAATCGACCCCAAACTCGCTCCCAAGCCTCCATTCACGTACTAGGACCTGAAATATCACAAACAAGCACAACCTAGCGTGAAATCGGCCTAAAACCCGAGAATCAACACCTCAAACGGCTCAAGAATAGGGGTGAAAACATGTGTAATTAACGGTCTATCAGTAACCCTAGTGTCATGCTCATGAACCAATGATCTAATAGTATTTCCCTATTGACAGACTTATGGAAATAAGAGGAATTGGAATATAGCTTCTTAAGCAATATTTCTCTGGATTACTTCCTCGAGAAAGACTCTTCAGCAACTTTGAGTTCAGAAAGCTCAGTATAGAGTTTCTTTTCCATATCAAAACTCATTTTAGAAGGAGACTTTAAAGCATTAGCCAGAGAATGGAATAACTCAACTTCCTTTAACTTCACTCTTTCTCTAAGATCATAAGAAACTTCACGATTAAACCCTCTTAATAATTTTTTAAAAATTCTCAACTTCTTACAAACCCTCTTCTAAGGAGAGCCAACAACCTCAGCAAACCAAGCTTTCTTTACCAAGTCCTTGAAATTAGGATGAGAAATCCAAAATTCATAGTACTTAAAAGGTTTTGGAAGATATTTTTGAGAACTATCCGTATTCAAAAGAATAGGGAAATAATCCGGGACTGAAAGGTCAAGTAGATCAACAACACTATTGTTAAAACTCTCTAACCATGTAAGGTTAACATATGCTCTATCAAGCGTCCTAGCAATAGGATTTTTAGATTGATTGTTGAGTCAAGTAAACTAGAGTCTGGAGACTTATGCTCAACAAGTTCAAGATCATGTTGCCAATTTTTAAAATCCTTATACTACTAGAATGATCAAGGGTAGATGCCTCACTAGGGTCACTAATTGCATTAAAGTCTCATAAGATGGCCCAAGAAACTTGAATAACCTCATTTCGCCCTAGCTACTCTTAACACCAATCTTCTATCAGACTCTTCATACAAGGCATACATGAATGTAATGAAGAAAGGAATACTCGATCCAACCAAGGCATGTATATACTGGTATGAACTAGTCATAACCCTTAGATCACTATCCTTGTTCCAAGGTAACCAAAGCTTTCCCAGACCACTGGCATTATTGTCTACTTTACTCTTCCAACCAAAGAACGCTGACTTATTAGTTTTCCTGATTCTGCGGCTTTTTTTATTGCCTTAAGAATATATATTATATCAATATTACTATCTTATGTACTACTTTATTCTTTTTAGAGGCTTTGAATTTGGTTGAGCTAACAAAATGATTCACAGTTCCTTTAAGTTTGTTGTTGGTTGAGCTAAGAAACTCCCTACTCTAGGAGCATATGGTTTATCAGGAGCAAGCAATTGATAAGGAGCGTTTGGGCTCCCAGCTATAGCTAATGACCCTCGCACAACCTTCGCAAAACTAACAACAGTACCTCCAATTGGTGCAGGAGTATATCAACTTAAGAGATATCATTTGATATTTGAGCATTAGTTTATGTAACCTCAGTAGAATCCTTGATAACTTCAACTACAATAGGAGTGACCACATCCTGAACAACCTCAGTACTACAACATTGTTATATACAACTTGACCTTCTTCAACAGTCTCAATAACTACTTCCTTCTTCTGCTCTAAAGGCTTAGTCTTTGGAATCTATTTCTTATTATTCCTTGCCAGCTTTTCACAATCGTGACCATAAACCTCACAAAACTACACAATTCTGAAAGATTTAGATAGTCAATTTCCACTTTGAAGTGTAGATCGTCATTTGGATAAAGCTTGATTGCAATAGGGAATCATGATTCTATTGTCATATCAACACATCACTTTGCAAATCCCAGCTGCATCCCCTTTCTAGTGGTTTTGTCCACCCATAGAGGTGACCCGAATGTGCTTGCAACCCATTCAATACCTTCAAAGGAGTGATACTCTAGGGGAAATTGCCAAATCTTTACCCGAATAGGAAATTTCTCTACCTTTGGAGAAATAGGTTAGATGCCAGAAGTCCCCTTACCGTGACACTTTAGATTTGAAAACCCACTGACTAGTCGCAGCCGATTGAAACTGGAAGACCGACTGCTTTGGTCCAAATCGAGAAACCCTAACCAATCCATCTCCCCCCATAGTGCATTAGCCTAGTCTTGTAATTGAGCCACTCCCAGAGGAGAGCCGGCGAATTCACCGATCAAACAATCTTTTCATCGATCTTCGCCTCTCTTCTTCACTTCATGAGGTAAGCGAAACCCATCCTAACACACTCCCGAGGTCGAAACGTCATCTGATTTCAGGAGCGACCTCAAACAAGCTATCCCAAGAACAATCTTCCCCCCACCGGAGCATTGGCGGCTCCGACAGCAACCATCGCACCAGAAATCGCCTACCATAGGAGAGAGAATAGAGAAAATGGGCTCAATTTTACCTATTTAACTATGTAGGGATGAGTAGCTTTTTGTGTAGGATATATAGCGTTTGATTTCATATTTCAAAAAAGATGGACCCATATTTTGGCTATTGTATTTAATTATGTGAATATTTTCAATTTGTTTGTATAATTTCAGAATTTTATGTACTAACGATGCAAAAAAATAATAATACTTAGATACTAAAGTGTAATTGTCTACCAATTTTTTTGCCCTATCAATAAAACATTTAAATTTTATAGAAAACAAACAAAAATTCAAATATTACAATAAATTGGGGGAGTAACCCTAAAATCATGTGTTAAACCCTACACAAAGCCAAACTAAATCAATTTCAGTATTTTATTTATTTATAACTATCCATTTAATTGGGTTTGAGTTGGTATGGGACTAGATAGTGTGACAACACCCCTTGTGTTGTTATTGTAACAACACTAGTCTCCAACCAATAGGAAGTTAGGGTTGTGATGACTTTTTATTAGATGAGTTGACCTAGTGTAAAATTAAAACAGGGGTATAATTGTCATTTATGAAAAATATGTTTAAATAATAAAAAAAATATTTTTTTTATTTTTTGCCCAAAATTTTGGTCGTCGGAATTCGGCCACCAGTCGCCGGAATCTGGCCGCCGGTCAGTGGAATATGTTTTTTTGTCGCTGGAATATGTTTTTTTGTCATCGGAATATGCTTACCTGCGTCGAAATATAGTCATCGGGGCCGGAATATGCCTCTCGGCACCAGAATCTGCTCACTGACGGTTATTGGAGTTTGGTCAACGATTTTCTTTGACCGGTCAACGGTCAACGACTACCGGATGTTATGGTCTGCATTGTGAGATTTATGGTTTGGTTTCTCATATTTTTGTATGCCTTTTGTGGTTTGCTTTGTCGTGTTTGTGGTTTGCATTAAGAAGTTTCTGGTTTGCTTTCAAAATTTTTGTGGTTTGGATTGTGAGGTTTCTGGTTTGTTTGAATATATTTGTGGTTTGCATTAGAAGGTTTCTGGTTTGCTTTTGTGGTTTGTTTTACCGTGCTTGTGGTTTGCATTAGGAGGTTTCTGATGTGCTTTCGCAAATGTTGTGGTTTGCTTTGTGAGGTTTGTGGTTTGTTTTAGGATATTGGGGTATGGATTAGGAGGTTTTTTGTTTGCATTAAGAAGTTTCTAGTGTGCTTTCGAAACTTTTGTGGTTTGCTTTGCGAGGTTTGTGGTTTGTTTTAATATATTTGTGGTTTGCTTTGCGAGGTTTCTGGTTTGTTTTAATATATCTGTGGTCTGCATTATGACGTTTTTGGTTTACTTTATCATGTTTGTGGTTTGCATTAGGGGTTTTCTGGTGTGCTTTTCAAAATATTTATGGTTTGCTTTGTGAGATTTCTGGTTTGTTTTAGGGAATTTGTGGCATGCATTGGGAGGTTGATGATATGTATTTTTGTTGTTTGTTTTATCGTATTTATTGTCTGCATTATAAGGTTTCTGGTGTGCATTAGAAATATTTATGGTTTGTTTTTGTGAGATTTTTTGTTGAGATTCTCTAAAGGAGGAAGTTTCTCTTCCTGTCGCTGCTGCTCCTTGTACCGTCGCCGCCCCATTGCTCCTGCTGCTTTTGTTTGGAGGAGGAAGAAGGAAGAAAGAAGCAGGAAGGAAGAAGAAGTGGTGGGACGATTTTGAGACCCTTCCCATTGCTTTTGTTGCTTTTGAATCTAATGCCCATTGCCTCTTTTAGTGTTGTCAAAGTAAAATGGATCAATTTATAATGAAGCGACGCTCTCGGTTTGGGATTTTGCTTGTAACTCACGAGCGGGAGAACGACGTAAAATGTTGAAAGACTATTTTAGGTTATTTATTCGATAACTCGGACTAACGCCGAACGTAGATATATATAACCCGTAAACCCTACTAATGACCTAGCTATAGCCGACCCAACTCTTACCCTTCTCATAGCCGAACTCTAATGACCCTACTAATGACCCACTACTATCCCTAAGCCCATGCATAATAATAATAATAACCCACCCTTGAAGCCAAGTATCTCACGTCGACCACTCATCATTCCTCCCCCCTTGAAATCAACCTTGACCCCAAGGTTGACCTTCAAATTCTTCCTCCTCAAACAAACACATGACCTTGGCATTTCCGCACTTGTGCTCTTTGGCAAACCGCTCATCACTGTTGAAACAAAGGCCCTAGGCGCGTCGAAGTTGCTTCTCTTCCCACGTCAATCACTTCATGCCCGGATTCCCGCGCGGCGACCCTGTCCCTCCCGGCGGTTCCGTGTTCCCAGCTCGACCGCCATCCATACCGCCGCCCCCGCCAATGTCGTAGCCCAGCGCTCCTGCACAAGCGTGCACAGCCGCACGCCAGCCTGGTTTATGACACTGAAGTGGTCATTCTTCATTCGAGCCAAGCTAATTGCGTCTCGCAGAGATTGAGGCCGAAACGTCCTTATCTCATCCGCAATTTCAGCCTTGAGCCCACCCAAGTAGGTACCCACCAGCGCGTGTTGTGTCTAGCCGACACAGTGATTAGCAAGCTTCTCAAACTCACGTTGGTAGTAGCGCAAAGAGCCGTTTGGCGTATGCGGGACAACGCCTCATCGCAGCTCTCACCTTCGGTAGGCCCAAAGCGCGCTCAAAGTTCATGGAAAACAATTCCCATGTAATCGGCTCCCCGACGTCCTTGTATGTCTGTTTCAGCCACTGCCACCACTGATTAACTTCTACATCTAGATGAAACGAAGCCAATTCGACACGCTGCTCTGCCGGAACTTCATGGTACT